GAATAGAATAGAATAGAATAGAATAGAATAGAATAGAATAGAATAGAATAGAATAGAATAGAATAGAATAGAATAACAGAGTTGGAAGGGACCTTGGAGGTCTTCTTGTCCAATCCCCTGCTTAGGCAGGAAACCCTACACCACTTCAGACAAATGGTTATTCAACACCTTTTAAAAAACTTCTAGTGTTGGAGCATTCACAACTTCTGGAGGCAAATTGCGCCACTGATTAATTGTTCTAACTATCAGGAAATTTCTCCTTAGTTCTAAGTTTTAATGCTCCTCCTTCCTATTTTTCCCCACAACAACTCTTTGATGTGAGTTGGGCTGAGAGAGGGTGACTGGCCTGAAGTCATCCAGTGGCTTTCGTGCCTCAGGTGGGACCAACACTTGCATTCTCCTAGAGATTGGTCCAAAGTTGGTTGAGCTGGTTTTCATGACTAAAGCCGGACTTGAACTCACAACCTCACAGTTTCTAGGCTGGTGCCTTAACTTCTAGAGGCTAGACCAAACTGACTCTCAAACTGATCCTTATTCTGGGTTGTGTCTCTATTTCCCCTGCAGGGACTTAAAGCCAGAGAACATTCTCCTGGATGATGATGGTGAGTGCCACGTGTCAAATGTTTGAATTGTCCCTGTTATAGACTTTCAGAATAACTTTTACCTACAAATATCAGAGATCACAGCCAGATCTTCCTTCCTTCAAATCATCTTTCACCATTGAACAACACAAACACATTTTGGGGCAGATTAGAACTTCGACCCCTTCTGTCTTTCCTCATGAAAGATCACAGTATCCCCATCATGATTTCGTATCCTCTATAATCACCTTCTCTCTTCTTGTATCTAGGGCATATACGGATCTCAGATCTGGGGCTGGCCATTAAGATCCCCGAAGGTGACACCATCCGTGGCCGTGTAGGAACCGTAGGCTACATGGGTATGTGTTGGAGAACTGCTCCAGGTCTTGTGAGATTGCTGGCTCAAGAGAAAGCTGACTCAATCCATGGACCTTCATTTTGGATCTATCTGACCACACAGGCTGAGAGGGCATGGTACTTTAAAACAGGGGCAGAAAAGCTATTTTAGACTGAAAATCAAATTTCTACCATTACAGTTAGTCCTTGACTTGCAGCCACAATTGGGACCAGAATTTCTGTTGCTAAATAAGGCAGTTATTAAGTCCGTCCTGCCCGATTTTACAAACTTTTTTGCCATGCTTGTTAAGTGAGTTACTGCAGTTGTTAAGCAAATCTTGTGGTTGTTAAGGAAATCCAGGTTCCCCCATTAACTTTTCTTGTCAGAAGCTGGCTGGAAAGGTTGCCAAGTGCCCAAATTATGATCATGTGACTGTGGGGATGCTACAACAGTTATAAGTGTGAGGACCAGTTGTAACTCACTTTTTTCAGTGCTGTTCTGACTTTGAGCTGTAATGGCACAGTGGTTAGAATGCAGTATTGCAGACTAACCTGCTGACCATCAGCAGTTCAAATCTCACCAGGCTTAAGCTTGACTCATCCTTCCATCCTTCCAAGGTCAGCCAAATGAGGACCCAGATTGTTGGGGGCAATATGCTGACTCTGTAAACTGCTTAGAGCGGGGCTGAAAAACACTGTGAAGCGGTATATAAGTCTAAGTGCTACTGCTATTTGAATGGTTGCTAAATGAATGGTTGTAAGTCAAGGACTGTCTGTATTGTCATTTCTGGTTCTGTTGTTATGCACACATAGCCTATTTATAAGTAAAATAAGGAGAGGAGTCCAACAAAAAAAAATATCAATCCAGAAATGGTTTGTTACTGCCTACTTTTTTTTCATTTTTCCAAGGCAGACAACAAACCCAGACATTCTTTCATCCAGGAATTAACCAGCTCCAACCCTTTATCACTTTTTCAACCAGCCACTCAGTTAAGTGCTGCTACTTGTTAAAAAGCAACACATTTAATTCTTTCCCCTTATAAGGGGGAGAAATCCTTGCCCGTTGGATTTTGCATTATCACCTGTGATGGGTAATGGTTCTCCAAGATGCAAAACAAGAGAAGATTCTTTCTCACAGTTTGCCACCCAATCAAGTGCTTTATATGAAATTGTTGTCTCTTAACTGTGCTCTCTCCACCCTTCTCCTCCTCTCCCCAGCTCCTGAAGTAATTAACAATGAGCGCTACTCCTTCAGCCCAGACTGGTGGGGACTTGGCTGCCTCATCTATGAGATGATCGAGGGCCAATCACCCTTCCGGGCCCGCAAGGAACGGGTGAAGAGAGAAGAGGTAGAAAAGCGGGTTCAGGACGACCAGGAACAGTATTCAGACAAGTTCTCTGAAGATGCCAAAACCATCTGCAAGTCGGTGAGTGATGGGAAAAAGGAGAAAGCCAAGAAAATAAGGAGGAATCTTTTCCATGAGTCTGTAGTATCAGATGGCAACTCCTACATGCCCTGAGTTGATGTCAACTCGGGGTTGACTACATGAACCCCTTTTGGCACTATCAAGAAGTACTTCGCCATTGTCTTCTACTGGGCAATTGTTTTAGCTTCTCATTCATTTGGTCTGTCAAGTAAGGACCAACTAAGAGTTTTGTGATCAGCCAAGATTGGCTAATCTGCTTAGCCGGGCATAGGTAAATTGTGCCCGTGTGTGTATATACAGGTGCACAAGTTTATATGTGTGAGCTGACTTGGATAGAGTATATTTAGTCAAGCAGCCCCACATATTATTCCCTTAAGCTTATCAGATTTCCACTTTGCAAGGGTTTTCAAAAGCAATAATATAAATATTTCTTTTACATTAAGAGAAGCAGAAAGGGATGCTTCTGATCGCAGCCATCTCATGCTACTGTTGTAATGCATGCTTAGTTCTTAATGGACTCCCTGTTATTTCATTTCCATTGGTTTAATTTTTAAAATCGGTTGATATTAATCATGTTTTTTTTAAAAAAATGCCTTTGACAAAGTGGACAAATCCTTTCTTTTCTGCATGGACGCTTTCTTCCTCATTATAAGAAACTGTATTTACAGGATAAACATTGGTGAAATATTCTGGACTCAAGTGGGTTTGAGAACCAACTTGGTTTGTGTTCCATGGCAGAAAAAGCCAACTTGGGCTTGGTTTACAAAGTCTACTTTAAAAAGTTCTGAGTTTAATGTTGTCACAGGCTTTACTTACCAAAAAAGTCCTCTTTCCCCCCATCCCCCTTTCAGCTCCTGACTAAAGATCCTAAGCAGCGGCTTGGAAACAAAGGTGAGGGGTCCGTCCAGGTGAAGCAGCATCCATTCTTCAGGACAATCAACTTCAAGCGACTGGAAGCTGGGATTATGAAGCCCTCGTTTGTGCCAGATGTAAGTTCTTACAAGTAAGAGTGAGGAACTCAAGGACAGCGTTAAGAAAACAAATAGATGGGCAAATGTTTTATCTGGGGGGGTGAAGTGTTAAGCCAGTGCTAAAACTTTCCTCTTTCTCCAGTTGTTGTAGTCGTCATCATCATCATTTTGTATTGAGATGTTCTTTGTCGGCAAGGTTGTTGTCATGCAAGATTGTTTCTGAGTTTTCTGTTTCAGCAGAGGAGAATTCCCTGGTTTTTAGCAATTGTGAATGCACAATTTGGGGCCCAAATGTAGAATTCTAGAAGCTTCAGAATGAAAAGGAGGCAGGAAGGCCTTGGGCCATGAACTGTCCAGTCTGTGATATTTCAGGCTTTTAGTTCTCTTCTTTTTCTTCCGAGTAATGGGGATCTCCTCTCTGCTTTGTGTGAGTCTTTTAGATCTTGAAAAGTACTATCATATCCCCCTTCCTCACCCTAATCGTGTCTGGTTTCTTCTGCTTTTTGAAATAGTATTAGTGTCTACATATTCTACCCATCATCCTCACCAGTTTTCCCCCCTCCCTCCAATTCCAAATCTGTCCCAAAGAAGCTAAATAAAAGAACCATAAATTAACTTATGGGGTTCCTCAGTATCCACTTTTTACCTTTTTAGTTAGATTTAGTATCATAAACTGAGCTAGAAGGGAACTTATAGATCTTCCTAATTCAACTCACAGTTGAGGCCATGAATTTACAAAACCATGCCTAACCTGTGGCCATGCAGCCTCCCTCTCTCCTTTCAAAAGAGAAATCCTCCTCCGCTATTCTGGCTGGATGGTGGCACTGCTTAATTACTGATTATCTTCAGGAAACTCTCCCTAATGTTCATTCTGAATCTTCTGTCTTTTCATTTCAATTTATTAATCCCAGTCCTCCCTTTGGCTTTCAAAGGGACCAAATCCATTTCTCCTTGCACATGACTTGCACATCTGGATATGTAAGTCCTGGAGATGACAAACTTACTGGAATCCTTGTCTTTCCCTTAGCCTCGGGCTGTGTACTGTAAGGATGTACTGGACATTGAACAATTCTCCACTGTGAAGGGTGTCAACCTAGACCAAACCGACAATGACTTCTATGCCAAATTTGCCACAGGCTGTGTCCCAATACCCTGGCAGAACGAGGTAAGGAAAGGACATACAAATATTTATCAAATTTAGAAACTGTCCATCTCCCTCACAGAGTCAAATCAGGGAAGAGACTCATGTATTGTAGTTGTACATACCTCTAAGCTAAAAGAAGATCATTGTCAAAGCCTCTTGATCTAAGGAGGCACATAGAATGGGTTGTCCCAAATTTCCATTCTGTCCAGTTGTTTTAAGGATTTTATTATATAGCATCCTGTTTCCCCACCATTCTTACCAATTGCATCATCTTCCTTTTATCTAGATGATCGAGACAGAATGCTTTAAGGATCTCAACATCTTTGGACCAAATGGCACCCGATCCCCAGATCTGGACTGGAAGCAGCTCCCTGACCCACCCAAGCGTAGCCTCTTGCAGAGGCTCTTCCGACGTAACGTAAGATCCAACCTTGCTCCTTTTTTGCTATGTATCTTTGCAGCTATTAATCCCATACTTACAATCTTCAATACTACTCAGCCTAATTAAGCAATATAGCACTGCTGTGCCTTCAACTTCAAAATATACTTTAGGTACTTCATATATCAGAAGTTTGTTTTTGAATGGACATACTTCCAGGTAACTATGAATATGGGTCTTCTTCAAACTGGCCAGCCAACAGAGGTGGAGATCTCAATTCCTGGAACTCTCAGCAATGGCCATGCTGGCTGGAGAATTCTGAGAAATGAAATCCCACGTCTGGAAGACATCCAGATTGGAGAAGCCTGGTATATAGGCCCTTTGCCAGAGACTGCAGATTGGAGGAATTTTATGTGGCTCAATGATAAAGCGCTTCAGGAGTTCCCAAGTTAGATCTCTGGGTGCCTGTTACATCCTTCCTGAAACTCTGGAAAGCTGCTGCCAGTCAGTCTAGATCAGTCTAGATCAGTATTTTCCAACCATGGTATCTTCCAGATGTATGCAGTAACTCCATAAGTTTTCAGCAATTGCTGAATGGGGAATTCCTGGAGTTGAAGTCCATACATTTCAGAAGTTGCTGTGGTGGGGGAATTCTGGAACAGTGGTCCAAACTGAATAAGGCAGTTTCTTAGATTCCTAAGTCTTCGCATTCTTCTGTTTGAAGAACAGCAGTTCACTGGTTGAGCAACTGCATAGCACAAATAAGTTCTTGGGGTTATTGCTGGCATCTCAGAACAGAACAAAGATCTTGCCTGTTAATCATGCTAGATAGCAGATTTTTTTCCCCCTGTACTCACCTGTCTTCATTTTTCCCTATAGCCAAGTGACTTCACCATCAGCACCAACGTACATTCCAACCTGTCGGCAGCCCCCTCACCAGCTTGGCCCATGGCACAGGCTCCCTCCTGACCTCTGGAGCTAGCACTCATCCTTGTCTTCTCAGGGTTGCCTTAGGCTGATATATGGAAGTCCCTGTCTGGGGCCAGGCTCTGTTACTGCTGGGAGCCGAAGGAACACAGCCTTCCAATCGGCAGGGCAGCAATGGTCCAGAAGACCTTTGCCACCTCTTGGTGCTGATGTGGATTGGGAGCATGGAGACTCTTCTTGTCCAGAACCTTGGCTGCTGCTTGTTGACAGGGTCTTCCTTCATCTTTCTGTACTTTGACTGCACAGGGAGCATCCATGGCTCTCCCCCATTTTCTTTGTCTCATCACCTCCTGACCCAACTTTCATGGGAGATCAACTGGGGAGATATACCTGAGAAGGAAGGATTTAAACACAGAAAGAACCACCAATGGCGCCTGGAGATGGCAGAGATGGGGGCTGGAGTCTTACTGGAGAGAAAAAGAGAATGCATAGCTTGGACAAAATTGCAATGGGGATGAGAAAGACTCCCCACTCTTGTATTGGTATTTCCGGAGACTCATGGATAAGTGTGTGTTGGTTAGTGTGTGGATGTGTATTGAACTGCTAGCTCCTTGGAGTTCATTCAGGGTTTTTCCAGGGATCTCTCCCACCCACACCATCAATTCTACAGCCTGGGGCCATTGCAAAACCAGAACATGGAAGACAAAGAAAATTGAAGAGCAATTGGTTGTCTTTCCTTCAGGACATCCTTTCTTGGCTGGTCATCTTCTAGGTGTGCTGGACTGTCCAGCACCTGCCATCCCTTAGCAATACAACTTTCAGACCAGATTGTTGGGCAGGGTCAACTGGAATCCAGGATATGTGGAAATCCCCAGATGCAGGATGCTGCTTTAGAAGCACTCAATAGGAAAAGACAGAGAGGTGAGATGGATGACATCTCAGCCTGCATAAAGTGTTCCCAAACCCTGACTTTAACCTCAGCCTGCAGTGTTGAAAAGATATTTTTTAAATCCTACATATTTTAACTTTTGTTACAATTGTTTCCATAGGTCTGTCTACTCATTAATTTTATTTCCTTTCCTTTCTGTCTCTGTATTTTCCCCCATTCTCACATGACCTTTCCTTTTTATCTTTATGCCACCCAGCCTAGCTGGTTCCTGGTGTATTAAAGCAGATGCAGGGTCTACCCTGATTGTGATCATATGCGCAAGTATGATGGAACCAGATAATTTCATCTTATTGGTTCCAAAAAGTCCAACATCCAAATGTGAAAATACCAGCTGCAGGTGGACAATTGTCTTTTAAAACTCTCCTCTACATTGGAAAATAAAAACCTCTTTGTAAGAAGAAAAGCAGAATAAGACTGGGTTAAAGTTTTAACCCATAATATTCTGGATTTCTGACTTTCGAAGAGAGTCCCCTTACCCATCCTACCCCCAGCACAAGGCTTGAGTTTCGCTTGTTTGCGTGGCCCAGTTTCTGGCATGCCATGGCCCAGTTGACACTGTCCATGGCCTCGGGGTTGGGGACCCCTACCCTAATGTGCTTCATTTCAGGAAAAAAGGATCATTTTGTTGCTGCTATTGCTAAATAATTGGAATATTCCCGTTGCCTCTTCTCTTTGAAAATGATAGCAATGATGATGCAGAGAGAAATGCATGAAGAGAGCATTTCTCTCTAGGCTTAGAGAAGAAGCAAGAGAAGGAGAAAGGACAACAGTGGAGAGGGGAAGGAAGACTCAACATAGGAAATTTTGTTTGCAAATTTCTCCAAACCCAAACAGGAAGCAGGGCTCTGGAGCTATGTTGAAGAACAGTGTGGAAGTTAGATACTTGTAGCTCTCCAGAGGCTGGTGGAGCACAACTCTCGGCATCTCTTACTCTAGATCTTCCTAGGGGGCCCTGTTGGAAATGGTCATTTAACAACTTCTGGACAGCTATAGATTTTCTACTTGTAAATAAGGCTAGATTTTCTTTAGCTTATAATATACTACTGTAGTGTTCCAGTTTGATCCTGTTTTCCACCTTTGCTTCTCTGCCATTTGTTTTTATGATCCTAGGAGGCTCTAAAGGATAGGATAATAGATCTATGGACAAAGCTGCTGCTTTCCCTTCTGGCTGCCAGAGTGTGGTGCTCCTTCACTGATTTCTGTGGCTCAGGTTGAGACTGAAACAATGCATCCATTCTAAGATAACCACAGGGAGCTTCCCAAATTCTGAGGCTCTCCCTTCCAAAATAATTTGCAAAGGATTGGCTCTAAATGGCTACGGCCATCACACATTACAAAGGTCAGGGGAAGATAGATCTATTTTTACTCAGAATTCCTTCTCTTTATCTTATCACTTGGCTGTTGCATGACCTGCTGAAGGAAGGGCTTGCTCTCAGCCTGGTGCTTTCTTTTTTTAAATAGGCAGAGATGTCCTTGGAGTAGGAAGGACTTTCTGGGTGAAATATCAGGGAAACTCATTCTCAGCAGTCAGACTTCAGCCTGGGAATTGCCCTCTGATCCTCCAGCAGCAGGTGTGAAAATTTGGGCTCGCCCTGGACAAGCTGAGCCCTAATGAACAGCTTGATCCAGGCAGTGAAGTTCATCTGTTCATTAAATCCCACGCTCTGGCAAGCCCCAACTAGAAAGGTTGATTTCTGGAGGCTTACCTCATTAAGAAAGACTGAAGACCAAGTCTGTCTTCGAGACCAGAGAGACAGGAGAGAACGTGGGGCCTTTCTCTTGTGCAAGTGACATCATGCTGATGTTTTGAATGGATGCCTGACTTTTAATAACTGTATGGTAGGCAAAGGATCCACCAGTAGAACCAGAAAGAAATTGCAATATTTTTTTCTGGGTGTGATTGTTTAAAAACTGCACAAATATGGATAATAGTCAAGGAAATAGAGACTTCTCTTAATGCCCAAGGTAAACAACTGAACTTCCTGACCTGTTGATATTTTTCCACTCCTTACTTTTATTTTTTGGAATCTCAGTTCCTTCTCTACTTCAGTTGCCTCTCACTAAATCTGCAGCATGAAGATTTGTTTTAAAACAAAAGCAATCTAAGTAAATAGGCATGAAATCCTGGTACAGGGGCCACATACCCACTTTGCATCCTTGCTCTGCCCACCAGGACCCTTCCAAAAACGTAAGTGCTACACACATGCCCCTTGAAAGTTGCCTGCTTTTTTCCAGGTGCCTGTCTAATGACATTTCACTAAAAGGTCAAGCAAGAGATGTTTGCAAAGAGAAGGAGGCCTTGCATAGGGAAAACATACAGCAGCAAAAAGAGGGCCAAGCTTCTTTCCCACCTTCCATTTCTGCACAAAATTTGACTGCACTTGTGGATTATTCCACAAAGCCGCCTGCATTACCATTAGAAGACAAATGCAGAGTGGGGATTTGGATTGCTCTGACTTTCAAGAACAGAGGTTCTAGAAAGAACCTCCTGCTCTAATATTAACAGGTCAGGCAGACAATGGTTCAGGTTGCTGTAAAGAGCTGTGGGCAGGCTTTATGACAGATTGGGCATGAATTTTATGGCAAAATGGAACACCGCAAGGGGAAACTTGGATCTATTCAATTAACTCCTTTGTTGAGCCTTATCAGCAGTCTAAAGTAGAAAGGTCTACCATAATGGGAGAAGTTAGACTAGCTATCTTTGATCTTCCTTTCTGCTCTGTTTAAGCAGCTTATCTTCTCTGCCATGTGTTGGCAGAATACTTGAGGCAGGGGGCATGGTGTTCATACTAGAAGACATGCATAAAGCTTTTCCACATGAAGGAAGATCTGTTCAAATCCAGCATCTTTGAGCAGTCATGATGGGGCCCAACAATGACCTCATCCATGCCTCTGCTCCCCTTCTTAAAGATGCAAAAGATTCCATTGCCCAAATGGCTTTGTACAAGCAGTCCTCAACTTATGACCACAACTGAGACCAGGCTTTCCATTGTTAGGTGAGATGGTTGTTGAATGAGTCATTGCCCAATTGTATCACCTTCTGTGCCCCAGTTCTTCAGCAAATCCGGCTTCCTCTATTGAGTTTAGTCATTGGAAGTTGGCTGGGAAGGTCCCAAGTGATGATCACGTGACCCTAGGATGCTACAACTGTCATAAATATAGGCTGAATTGCCGAGCGCCTGAATTTTGATCAGGTGACCGTGGGATGTTGCCACTGTTATAAGTATGAGATATAGTTGTAAGTTACTTTTTTCACCACTGTTGTAACTTTGACCAGTTGCTAAATGGATGTAAGTAGGGGACTACCTGTAGGATTCCCACTGCCCTCTAATAGAAGGAAAGACACCTCAGCAGTAACAGAATAACAGAGTTGGGAGGGACCTTGGAGGTCTTCTAGTTCAACCCCTGCTCAGGCAGGAGACCCTATACCATTTCAGACAAATTATAATCCAATCTCTTCTTAAAAACTTCCAGTGTTGGAGCATCCACAATTTCTGGAGGCAAGTTGTTCCACTGATTAAATTTTTTCTTAGTTTTAGGTCACTTCTCTGCTTGATTAGTTTCCATTTCTTGCCTCTTGTCCTACCTTTAGGTGCTTTGGAGAACACCTTGACTCCCTCTTCTTTGTGGCAACCCCATTAATGCCAACCTGACCCATTGTGCAAGATTTTGGAGAACCTGCTAATTGAAATAGTAGCCTCTCTTGACATATTGACTCCTAGTATTCCTCCAAAAACGTAACTGGTAGAAAGGGAATTGATTCTATAGATGGGTCCTCCAATGAATGGATGGATTGGGTGGATTGTTGGAGCCCTGACACCGTGTTTACATCATTTCATGTTAATTCAATCTATAAAATCAATTACAGACTGAGAGGGGCTTGGTCCAAAATAGGTGAGCTGCTGCTGGGATTTAATTGGCCAATAGTCACATATTGTGAGCCCTCTGCCTAAACCTGTCTTGGCTCAATCCCCATCACATACTTTATTGCAGACCTCTTTCTCACATACACATACCTACAGACAAGGAATGGGCGAAAAAAATACAACTTTCAGCCAAAATCAGGAGGAGAGGGAAAGAGGAAAATATCTGAAATTGTGATTTGCACATCACACTAAGCCATACAATGGTTGGCTGGCTTGGAGTTTAGTGTAACGTTTGTTTGCAGCCAGGTATAGTTTATTGAATAAATTGTGGTTATACAGTGGCCTAGTGTGATGGGTGAACCTCATCTAGGTGAGAACCTCCAAAGGAACCAAATAGGAAGAAACTTGAAAGGACTATGAGCAGAATGTTAAGGAACTGTTGCCTTCTTCGTCTGAGAAGAACAAAAGGAGGAAATATTCTGTGGGTGGAGTGATCCTCTTGACTTCAGACCCTTACACTTTTTTTGTATTTCCCTTTTCTTTGTACATCAGTGTTGTTGGGTTTGGTCTAATGCTGGCTTTTTATTTCTTTCTCTTTTTTTACACTGCTCGTTTCTGATTCTGGAGCATTTGGGTTCTGACTTCTTGGGTTTTTATTTTGTACATTTGTAAATATTTGTATGTTGAATGTTTGGATGTACATTTTTAAACTTGAAAAAGCTGCAAGCCAAGCCATGTTTGGAAAGGTACCCCTAATGCTTCGGGGTATTTTTTTTAAAAAATTGGGGAATACAGAGGGAGGTGGGAGGAAAGAAATGAATCAAAAGTTATTATAATATAAAGTCCCTATTCCAGTCAAAGGAAGCCAGAGCAGAGAGGGGGGAAATTATCTCAATCAGTCAACTGGGATTTCTATTCCTCCCGATTTTAAAATTTCATACAGTATATATATGTACTATGGTTGCTGTTTTTTCTTGTTACTTATTCCCAGGGCTGTGTGTAATCTGCATTGAATAAAATATATACACCAAATCTCCACCAAAAAGAGTTGCATTCTCTGAATTACCTGATAAAGCCAGTTTGATCTAGTCCAGGGGTGTCCAACCTTGGCAACTTTAAGACTTGTGGACTTCAACTCCCAGAATTCCTCAGCCAGCTTTGCTGGCTGAGGAATTCTGGGAGTTGAAGTCCACAAGTCTTAAAGTTGCCAAGGTTGGACACCCCTGATCTAGTCATTAAGGTACCAGGCCAAAAACTAGGAGACTGCGAGTTCTAGTCCTCCTTTGGAATGAAAGATGGCTGGGTGACCTTGAGCCAATCACCACGAGACTGTGACCAGGACTCTAGTCCTGTCTTAGCCACGAAAACCAGATAGGTAACTTCGGATCAGGAAAGTAAAGGCAAATCTTACCAAGAAAACCGAAAGAATTGTCCAAGCAGTTACAAAAATGACACACACATTCAAAGGGGTGGTAGTGGAGTGATAACCCATATTTAATGGAGGATATTTAATTTAAAGGATATTTATTGTTTTAAGGGTTAAGCATTGTTTTGCTTTGTTTTTAAACATTGATATATGTAGCAGCCAGTGAAAGTTCTGTATCTGGTTACCAAGATGCCCAAAATGTTTTTATTTATATAGAATACTAGGAGGCAGTACATCACTAGTCTCAATCTACTTAAAACTTATTAAATGTATATAATCTCAGGTCTTTTAACGAGATTGGATTCTTCTAGTAGGGATTGAACTCATAGCAGGGGTGGGATGCTACCGGTTCAGTCCGGTTCTATAGAACTGGTAGCTGCAAAGAGCAGCTGACTCCGAACCGGTTTGGTGTTTGGCCCACCTGCCTGCCCGGGCTCTAGGCTGTCCTTTATTCCCTGCTTTTCCCTCCTCAGCTGCTTTGTGCAGCACAGCTGAGGTTGGAAAAGCAGGAAACAAGAGCAGCGCTTGTCAGCTGTCCAGGTGGCACAGCTGATGATTTCTTGCAAACGCTGCACACACATGTGTTATGAGTTCGGAGAACCAGCAAATCGCTCCACTGGCTGGCCCTGCCCACTCACTCCTTACCTGGCATGCGAGCCATCCAACTTGCCTGGTTTGGTGAGTTGCTATTTTTCCTTCCCCTCCCCCGACCATCAGCTGTTCTGCTGGGCCAGGAGATTTAGATTAGCTAGAAAGCAGGAAATCCTTGGATTTCTTGCTTTCTAGCTAATCTAAAAGCAGAGCCGAACCTTCCTTAGGACTGAAGCTTCTACTTTTCAGTGCAAACTCAGGTAGCCAATTGCAGAAAGGTAGATCTCTAAGTGAATCTGTCATTCTCTGAGCAACTCAATCTGTCTGCCTGCTTTGCCTGATTTGGGGTAAAAGTTGCTCTTTTTTAATAGAAAATTCAATATTTACATACATGGTGTGTTGTGAGTTAATTTTGTGAGTTTGCTTGCAAGCAAATTTTATGTGACAGACTCAGGTGGCCAATTGCAGGTAGATAGATCTCTAAGTGAATCTGTGAGCAACTCAATTCTGTGAGCAACTCAATCTGCCTGCCTGCTTTGCCTGATTTGGGGTAAAAGTTGCTCTTTTTTATTAAAAAATCAATATTTACATAAATATTTATAATATTTACATACAAGCCACGCCCACACATCACATGACCACCAAGCCATACCTAGTCAGCAAGCCATGCCCACCCAGTCACATGGCCACCAAGCCACAAATTAGGCCACACCCACAGAACCAGTTATTAAGAAATTTGAATCCCATCCCTGACTCATAGGCCACTGAACCTGAGAGGATTGTCCTCAGCAATGTTTCAGAAAGAATATACACAATCTGTCTTTAGAATGATGTATAAGACCATCTTCCTTTCCTAAGCTTTCAAACCAGAGGGATGTATAGTTGCTATATTATGTCCTTATCACGGGTGGTATTCAGCAGGTTCTGACCAGTTCTGGAGAACCGGTAGTGGGAATTTTGAGTAGTTCAGAGAACCAGAAAATACCACCTCTGACTGGAGATATTACAGTAACCTTCCTCTGCCACGCCCACCAAGCCACACCCACAGAACCAGTAGTAAAAAAAAATTTGAATCCCACCATTGGGTGGGATTCATGTATGAAGTTATATGTTTTATGAGACCCAAACAGGACAAAATCATCCCTATATAGCTCCTGAAAGTCCATGTAAGTAAAAACATACACAGGATATACATCGTGCAAAAAAATTGTACATAAGGGCACGAAACACAGTAGCATCTGGTCTAGGAGCTTAAGAAAAGGAAGGTGGATTGAGTATACCATTCTAAAAATACTGTACATTCAGAATTACAGCATACCCTACACCAAACAGAAGCATCTTCTGTGCTCCCCAATTCCATTAGTTAGAGTAGTGACTTCTCTTTTTTGACCTGATTCAAGATCTCAAGAGACAAATCAACATGCATGGTTTCTCCTTGCCCTGTGAGACAATACTTGGGCACCCAAGGATCTGCAGACCTTGATAACATGATGTGGTTGACCAAACCAGAGTCCAGTTTGTAGCAGTAAACATTAACTGCTTGTGCTCTTCAGTTTGGCTGCAGAAGGGAAGGCTGAGGAAATAACTCGAGATACTGGTGCCATCAATGAAGGACTTTCAGGTTGGAACCCACAGGTCACATCAAGAAGGGGAAACTCCAAACCCAGCATGATGGATCTCCTACATTTTAAAATAGGCAAATCAGTAAAGAGGGGTATTTGTGCAAGACCATTAAGCCCCAAGGAGTTTGCCATAGAACCTTTAAGACTACAGCCTAAAATTACCACTGCTACTGTGATTTAAGGACAAGGTCAGCCTGATAGTGGTGAAAATGATAAATGATAAATTTTAGCTAATTATCTGCAGTTTAGGGCATTCCCTAAATGACCTCAAGCATTTATTATTTACTTTAAGGCTAGAAGCAGAGTCAAGATAGATGAGTGAATTTATCCTTGATAAGGTTTCTAAAATATGCAACATGAAGCATTTTTTTTTTTTTGCCTGATGTTGTACTTGCTTACATCTTAGAAAGTAACAGGAAATTAGAATAAGGGATCAGAAAAAGGTGAAGGTTTTTTTCAGAATCTATGGTAAAATTGCAACAGCTAACATCCCGGTCTCCTTTTGCCTGTGTTCAATTCTATGTAAGATATTTGAGGTTAATAAGGTAAGGAATAAGCTGAAGTTAGTTAGACATTTGAATAAGTGCATTTATCTAAAAGTAATAAAGGTTTAACAAAGGTTAAACTTTCTAACAGTGAGAACAATCAACCAATGGAACAGCTTGCCATCGGAAGTTGTGGGAGCACCATCACTTGAGACTTTCAAGAAGAGATTGGACTCCCATCTGTCAGAAATGGTGTAGGGTCTCCCGCTTGGGTGGGGAGTTGGACTAGATGACCTACAAGGTCCCTTCCAATTCTGATTATCTGTTATCTGATCAGGTTTAAGTGCATTTATCTATGGTGCATTTATCTATGGTAACAAAGGTTTCCAAAGATTGCCTGATCAGAAGAAAAGAAAGGAGGCATAAAACATGTGTGACAAGTTTATTATTCTATGTATGGAATGAATGGGCACTGAATTTAATTAGATTCAGTTCAAGCAGGGATGTCAAGGTGTAGCTTTTTAAGATGATGTGTAGATACACATGGGAAAGTTATGTACAACAAACATTCTGGCTAAATTATGGAAATGCCTTTTGAAGGAACTTCATTCTCTTTATTTTGATCCCATTTGACAGGGAAGATGTTCTAGCCCAAAATAAATATACTGATGAAAACATTTTTTTTATTTAAGTTTTTATTGGTTTTCAAAAACAAACATAAACAAACAAAACATAAAAACATCAAGCCATCTTCCATATGTGTACATACAGTGTGCCGGTTGGTTTACAAATTGTTTTGTGCTTCCATTTCGTAGTCTTCAATTACAATTACATTGCATATAATCTCGTATTTTCAATCAAAAATTAAATACCTTAGTATCATTATTAATCAATCATTTGACTATACTTTTATTCATTCATGTTTTACAAGATAATCATAATTTACTTTGTTTGTTTTATAACAGTTCATATTATCATCCCAAATCTATCCTAAAATCATTTTGTAGATATAATAAGAAAGAAGTACTTCTTTATATATTTATTATTTTCTAAAAGTCTACATATTTCATTACTGCATTTTATTGTCTAACCATTGATAGAATAGATCCCAAATTTTGTAAAATTGTTTATCCTCTTGTTCTCTAATTTCAAATGTCAATCTACTCATTTCAGCACATTCCAATATTTTCTTAATGATTTCCTCCTGTGATGGTGTTTTCTCATTTTTCCAGTTTTGGGCAAATACTAGCTGCTGTTAATACATTTACAATCAGATATTTCAAGTCTTTACAACATATTTCAGGTAAAATTCCCAATAAAAATATCTCTGGTTTCAAGTCTATATGTTTTTTTTGTCATTTTTTCCAACCACATGTGGATTTTAGTCCAGTATTTTTTACCATCCGCACAAGTCCACCACATATGGTAATATGAGCCAGGTGTCTGATGACATTTCCAACATTTTTCGGATTTATTCTTGAACATTCTTGCTATTCTTGTCGGGGAAAATGCCACCTGGAGAACATCTTATACAAATTTTCTTTATATGCTGTTGACATTGTCATTTTATAATTTTGAGACCACAATTTTTGTCATTTCTCTAAATCAATCCCATATCCAAAATTCTTCCCCCAAGCAATCATAGTTTCTTTAACTTGTTCTTCTTCTAATTTAATTTCTAATAAATATCCATACAATTTTTTAATCACCTTTTCATCAGTACCTGTCAAAATCTTATCGAAATCAGTCAATTTATCATAGAAACCTTCCATTTTAGAATCTTTATCATACCTTGAATGTATTTGCGCATATGAAAACCAATTCATCTTTATACCTTGTTCCTCTAGTTTTTGTATAGATTTGAGTTCACCCTTTTCATTCAATATTTCACCATATCTAACTGTTTGTTCCTTTTTGTATATTATA